CTCCCACACCTTGCCAGGCAAACAGAGCCAGGAGGAAGTCTGAGCACTGCCAGTTGAGGCCCCATACAAAGTTTTAAAATAGAGGGTAAGAAAGACAGCACATTATGTAAGGTGCTGGTTTTGCACATACCCCACTTCAGTTGGATTGCTGGTACCACATATGGTTTCCCAAACCTCATCAGGAGTGATCCTTTGAGCACATAGCCAAAGTATAAACCCCAAACCACTCTCCCTTCAAATATTTAAACTAGAACTACCAAATGATCTAGCAATTGCTAGATTAGGTGCCTATTTACATCAAGGCAAACATCTACAAAACATCGACATCTAAAAACATCAAGACAAAAAGATGTATGTAGCCTATGTTGTGCTATTTACAATAGCCAAGATCTGAAAGCAATTCAACTGTTCCACAACAGGTGAAAGTTGTATGAAAGTTGGTATAAACACACAATGAAATATTAATGAGCTGTGAGGAAAAAAAATTGATGTCTTGCCTTCTGTTAAAATCTAGACAGAACTGAAGGGTATCATACTAATCGAAGACAAATATCCAATAATATCATTCATAAGTAGTACATAAAGAAATAAAGCAAGTGAATAGATAATGTCCAATGCAAACAAACCTTTGTATTTTGATTACTAAACAAAAGTCACTAAAGCAAAAGGGTACGATGAGGGTAAAGGAGAGGTCTGATAGGACAGTTGGGGAGGGATAATGAATGGCACATTATTGGTGGATATGGCACAGTAACACTGTACACTTTAAACATATAAATATTTACCTCTTATAGACCAGTTTCCTCAACACCTTTATATATATATATGTGTATGCATACGTGTATAAACCCTATATATCTAAGAATACAATAAACAGAATTTAAAGGCAACCAACAACATGGAAGAAAATATTTGCAAATCAATTATCTGATAATAAATTAATACATAGAAAGAATTCTCACAATTCAATGATAAAAATTTTTAAATGTGCAAAAGGACCAAGTTCTTCAAAGAACACTCGAGTTATCAGTAAGCATGAGAGAAAAATGAAAAATGTTCAATTTCACTAATCACTAGGGAAATGCATAAAAACCTCACAATGACATGACATGTTTCAGCCATTAGGATTACTACTATAATTCAAAAGGAAGACGACGGTGGGCTGGGGAGATGGTTGACTGTATACTTCGTGTGGGGGTGATGAGGGCGAAGAGAAAGGGCCCAGAATCTAACTTCAGAAGAGCAAGCTTCCCCTGAGCAGAGCTAAGGGCAAACCCCCAAGCACCAAGTCACAAGTATCACTAACTGTGCCTCCCCACACAAAACAAACAAACAAACAAACAAAAACACCCAATTCTGATCATTTGGTAGTTTGATATTTAATGGGATCCTGACCTGAGCACTGATTCGGTGTCACGCTGCTTTTCTTAATCTCTTAAAATATCTAAATAAAAAGCTTCTAGAAACACAACAAAATTAGGTCTTACAATTTAGAATTTTTTTTTGGAGGGGAGGAGGGTTTGAGCAACACCTGGCTGTGCTCAGAGGATCATATGTGGTGCCAGGGATCAAACACCGGTTGGTAGCATGACAGGCAATCATCTTGTGTGCTGTGCGACCTCTTCAGCCCCAGACCGTAATTTTTTTTTTAAACCAGAATATTGTAAAGTGCAGGTCAATAATTGTTCTACTAATCACTTAGGTGAATATGTTTTATTTTCAAAAAAGATTATTTTATATATTCACCTAAATATTTCAAACTTTACGATGCCTGCTTTATTGATTCTGTCAGCTTCTGTACTTACTTCCCTCTTTTCTGATATCAGGTCAATGTTTCTAACAGCTTTTCCAAACTCAATCTAGATGTCTCACCATGACAATTTCCAAGATTCTAAACTCATCCTCAATGCTGCCACCTATTGGCTCTTACCATAACAAACATTTCCTTTGGGGGAAAAAAAAATCTTAAACTAGCCTTAAACTAGTAATAGTTAACCAAGCCCAGAGACCAGATTTAATTTCGAGATTCTAATTCTTCTCAGATAAGATGCTCCAAGTCCCTGTGATGTTTGAGAACACTTATTTTAACAAAACCTAAGACATTTACTTGACAATTTATGTTCCTAAAGTCTTTCTGTTCCTATTTTCCATTATAAATGCTGTGGCTGTCTTTAGAGAGAAAAAAAAAAAAGACAAAAAATGACAAAAAAGAAAAATGCCAAAGACAGGTAGTGAAGTGGTAATGAAGTAAAGCAATTTCTTTAGAAACAGCTGAATTGTCAAATGAAGGAAGCTTCTCTAGTGAGAAAGCCATATAGAGATTGTGTAACTATAAATAGTAAGAACAGTTGTTTTGATGCTAAATTATCCCATATTATGCTACTTCTAAAATAGTGCTTCTAAAAATAGTCATGTAATATTTTATCTTCATACAAGCAATGGAAAGCTCTTATTACAAGGATATCTTACAATCAATTATTGTATATGGAATTTTCTTCACAAACATACCCTAAAAGGGGATAATTAATGGTTGCTCCTTTAAGTCCAGTTTCTCAACTTTTTACTGGCAATGGTGCCCTTCTGACTTTGTTTCTGTTCTGCGGGTCCACTTCATGTCCTACTGCTTGGCCTAGTCTCATGCCACGGCCCTCTTCGTGAAGTTCTGCCCCCTTGAAACAATCTGGGGCCCACAGGGGAACTGAAAAAAATGCTATTCTAGTTTACACAAGCATTGACTGAATGACCTGTTCAATACTCAACCTGTACATATGTGGATCACACACGACTACGTATGTTGTTGCTTATTTTCTTATATTTCTCAACTTACATTAAATTTCAAGATACTTCTCTCCTTAATTCAATGAGAACACTGTCCCAGAGAGTCACAACCTTCTTCATGTAGTAAGAAAAAAAAAAGACTCTACAAAATAAGAATATTAGGCAGCGCATAAACCTGCTTTTAGATCTTAAAGCTACTAATTTGATAATAGCAAATACTGATTCAGTGGCTACACACTGGGGTACAAACATACCTCCAGAATTTGACAAAAGGAGCTGGAGAGATACTATAGCAGGCAGAGCACTTTCCTTGCACAGAACAAACCTGGTCCGATCCCAGAATCCCATATGGTCCCCTGGGCCCACCAGGAGCAGCCCCTGAGCATCACTGGGTATGGCCCCAAACCCAGACAACCAAAAAATAAACAGACTGGAAAAACCCCAATTACAAAAAAATATAATTTGACAATATGGTCAGAAACTCAAAGATTCAAAGACACCAGGAGAGATAGCTGAAAGGACTGAGAGCATGCTTTCCATGTACTGGGTTCAATACTGGTGTACTGGGTTCAATATTGGTATTGAACCCAATATGTCACAGTCTTCAGAGCATTATCAGGTGTGCTTCCCCCCAAGAAAAAATTGTTTCAGTGACAAAAAAGGATAAAAAAAGGGGGCAGAATACCGACAACCAGTACAGGTAATATTTACTACAATTGTGAAGCATTAGAAAAGTTAAACAGCACCTAAACAATTCAGGGGAAGAAAGGTGGCGTCTATTAAGAGTAAGCTCAAGGGGGTGGAAGCTAGAGTGATAGTACTGTGGGTAGGATGCTTGCCTTGCATGTGGCCAACCCGGTTCAATCCCTGGCACACATATGGGTCCCCCTAATATGAAGTGATCCCTGAATCCAGAGTCAGGAAGGAGTAAGCCCTAAACACCCACAAGTGTCGCTCAAAATACAGAACAAAAAAAGAAGAGGAAAGGAATTTAGAGCTTTGGAGAATAGCTATAGAGAATAGATCCATGTAATAAATAAAAACATGGTGTTTAATCAAATGATCAGACCAGTTTAACTCCACACAATTATATAGAACACTGGTAGAGCAGAATTAAGACTGTGGAAGATGCTAATGAATTCAGAAGACAATAACAAAGTCATTGGAGACTGAGTATAGGGTAACTTTTCCATACTATTTGTAGAACGAGGGGCAGGGCAGGTTGCACAGTGGTTTACTCTTGCAGTGGTGTATAAGGACTGAAGAAAACTGAGAGACCAATTATGAATTACTTTAGATGCTAATCATCTGAACAACTGTGATAGCTGTAGAAAGGAAAAAGAATACACTGTAATAAGGAGAAGTTGAAAGAACTTGGCTGGCCTGATGTTAGAGAAATATATAAAGAAGAGGTAAGAATAAAAACGTTTCCAAAACTTTAGAACAAATGTCCCCATACTTATTTGGCCTACTATCCCCTTTTCACTAAAGAAAACATCACTAGCACCCTCCCATATAGAAATTTTCCTTCTTCACACAAAAAGTAGTCCTAACTGCAACATCTGCCCCCACGCCCCAAATCTTTCTGAGGAGCGGGGGTCTCTTCCCCCAGGTTTTGTCTACTTTGGTAAAAACTACATTAAAGCAAAAAACAGAAGAACTATAAAAAGAAACAAAAAACTACTATGAATAGAAGTTTTTATTTCTAGACCAAAATTCTGTTTAATTGCACAAAGCAATAAAACAGGAACCTAATAAAACAAATCCAATAAAACAAGCCCAATTTTTCAACTGAATATAAACTCATGCTCAAATATTAGAAAAAAAAAGTTTTATACAAAAGCTTTTTATAAACCAGAGTTCATCATAAATCTACAAGAATTACTGATCCAGATCTGTTACTGATCTTTCTATACACATAGCTCTCATTATAGTGATCATACAATTTTATGTTTAAAATAAGCACAACAGTTTGAGACATAATTATTCTGCCTATTGTAAAATTTTTAAAAAGCCTGCATGCTAGGAAATAGATTTCTCAATAGCTAATCAACAGATTGAAAACAGTCTAAATTGAAAAACTGAATCACCACCAAATACTATATGAAACAAAATCATACATTCCTCTTTGGAAACATCTTTCAAAGGAATAAAATCTTGAAAAACTAAAAACTATCGAGTAAAATACCATTCTAGTCAAGTGTCACAAGATTTTTGATTACCTTTACTTTATCTCTTCTCAAGCAACAAAAAAGACAATTCTCATCGAAAGTCCAATCAGAAATGCTTTCAGGTTCACAGTCTACAAAAAAAAAAAAAAACAGTAAGAATGACAAATTAATACTAACAAGACATTTTTTGAGAAAACAAATGAGAATCAATTTCAGAAATATTATTTAATACACAAAAACCCTTAGCAATGGACAGGTTCCCAATTTGTCTTAAAATTCTTGATAATTGTTCATTAATGTACCATCATACATGTATATTTAACATAAAAAATGATTACATGAATATAGCTGCAAACCATATGAAAATTTTAAAAAGGAATTCATTTAGGCTTAAGTCAGTATACGCCCTAAACACTAAAATGCCAGAGAAAAAAATTTAATACCTTTAAATAAACTGAGATCTTTTAATAATGCAGGTCCAAACAGCCCTTCAAGAATACTTTCAAACCCTGAAAAGATGAAAAAGAAATCCATTATTATAATATTCTCTATAGCAATTTAGCATTTAATCTGTTACTAATGAAAAGACTTATTTAATTCCAGTTCTCAAGACTTTTCATATGATTATTTAAGGGATACTGAGGAAAGAGTGTCAATGACAAATCTAACAGGCACATTTGCATTTTGTCAATGATTAAGAGTCAATACAAATTCAGAACACATTCAAACATGAAGTATGCAATACTCAGAAAGGAAATTCATAGGTTCTCTTAACCAACTTACAAAATCACAAATACTTCTTAATATAAACTCTCTTACTCCCAATTTTTAAAGGGCACCATTCCCAGCGAAAAAATCAAAATGATTCAAAATTTCCTTAATACTCTGGTTATACTACATGTCAGGTCTCTAAATATCAACCCCCAAAAAAAGGTAAGGTAAGTTAGTATTTTACAAAGCAAATCTGTATTACGGATGAAAAAAATCACTGCATAATATTCTATTAGTGCTAGAGCAGTGGTGCAGAGGGTTGTGTGGCTTGCCTTGCACGCGGCAGAGGCTGGTTGATTCCAGGCATCCCACTGAATGTGGGGTGTGTGGGGCGTGTGAGGTGTGTGATGTGTATGTCTGTGTGTTTCCCCACCCCACCCTGCTGGCAGTGAACTCTTGAGTGCAGAGCAAGGAATAACTCTTAAGCTCATCCCCACTCAGGAAAAAGAAAAAAAGACCTTCATAATTATTTCACATTGACAAGATATTTTGGTTCCTTTATGAAAGGCAGGATCTAGTAATTACATATATACAAAAAAGTGAATTCAAGTATGTCTATACATTAATATTTAATCTATAAACAACTACCAGTATGAAAAATAAATTTAAAAAAATCTCTGATTATTTCAAATACTACTGATCAACTCTATGTCATGGGGTTGAGGAGAAAAATACAGTGGTAAGGGCACTTGCCTTGCCCTCAGCAGACCTGGGTTCAATTCCCAGCACCCCATACGGTTCCACAGGCCCTGAGCACTCACTGCAGGGTGTGATCCCAAAACAAGTACACACACACACACACACACACACACACACACACACACTCCATCATACTGATTTCTACTTGTTTTAGTAGAATAAGAAACAAAAGGGAAATAAAATTATACCTTTGTAAAACATTCTACCAGAAATAATGGACTTGAGGAAGGGTTCCCAACTGATTTTCATGGACTTGTTTGGGAACTCAGTTACATAAAATCTGTGAATCCACTAAGTACTTTAAGCATGACCTTTAGAAAGAAGATTGATATAATTTAATGTACATGCTGCATTTCTAATGCAAAGAAAGAAATGTCATTGTAATTAATACAAAAAAGAGTTTCTGTGGGGCCAGAGTTATCAACAGTACAGTGAGTAGGCTGCTTGCATGCAGCTGACTCGGGTTCAATAGGCAACATCCCACACATGATCCCCCACGGTCACCACCAGGAGCTATCCCTCCCATCAAAATGGTGTGCTTTCAAAATAAAACCAATCTTTGAGGCAAATGAGAGATATCTGTGCCTGTTTTATTATCTGACAACTACACTTAAAACACTTTCCACTAAAATTATTAAGTCCTCTCCCCTCAAGTTAGGGTGGAAAAGGCCATTTTGGGATGAGGGTTTTGAAGATGGGGAAGTGGTGGTAAGAGATGAATCAACTGGAATTGCTAGTCACTGTCTACTTGATCTGCATACTATTCTTTGTACCAACCTTTAAAAAAAAAAAGAATAAATCACATAATCTGCCGATCTAAAACCTTCAAGCCCCCACTCCAAAGAAATTCTGACTTAACAAATATTTACAACAATTAAATTACCCTGAAAGTACAATACACAATATAAATAGCTAAAGGAAATTATTGGTGATCCCAAGAACAGATTTAATATGTTTTTATCTTGGTTTATAAAAAAAACTACAACAAATTCCAACTCTGCATGCTTACCACAGTTGTTTCTTTTAAAAAAAAAAAGAAAGAAAGAAAAGTGCTAATATGACAGAAAATGCTGAGAAAGTAAAAGCAAATAAACGCTTTGGAAAATATTTAAAAATCACAAGAGGCGAGAAAACAGCAGCACAGCTCTTAATTTACATTTGTGATGACCTAAGTTCAACTGCAGGCACACAAAAATAAATGGGGGGTAGGGGTTCACAAAAAACATCTAAAAATAAAAAAGGAAAAGAACACCCCCCCAAAAAATGGCCATGGATGAAAAGATTAACAATTAATTTTGTCCAAAATAATAACTATAAAGTCATACTTTTTGTTTACAACTGCAACAATACCCTTACAAATACTACTGATTGGACAATGTAAGGTTTTATTTTGCTATCCTGTTAAAAGGACTTAATCTCAGTTTTATTAATATTAAATATTGAATTTAGCAGTTGCTTAGCAACAAGGAATGTCTCGTGCTATGCTTGACATTAACAAAAGGCAAATAAAAGAAGAACCAATGTATTCAAAATTTATACCATGATTTCACACAAAAGTCATAAAGATCAATACCAAAATGCCATGAAAAACTATACAGACTGAAAGGACAACTGTACCATTATGTTCAATTACAAAAATATTTCCCGAATGTATCTATTTTCCAAACAATTCGTATACAATTGTTCTTCCTTGTTACAATATGTATTGTTACAATATGTATTGTTTTCAGAACTGTGTCATTATGTTTTATTACCAGGGCTTTAAAAATAACTGTAATATACTGCATATAAAAAAATTCCCTGATATATCTATTTTCCAAACAATTCCTATACAATTGTTCTTAAAGCTGGTCTCTTCCCTGTTACAATATGTATTGTTTTCAGACTATATTCTTCAAACAGTTCTTTAATAACGCCTTTATTCAGAAAAACTTGACTTTGCAGAACATAAACAAAAAACAAATTTCTACATCTAACCAATCAAAGGTGCTTATAACCTGACTTCAACAAAGCTTTATAGAGGGTTTACTACCCAGAACTTTCCTGCTCATTTCACAGATCCAGCAAGGTTGCCTTTTAATGTATCTGATTATTATTTCTACTTCCTATGTGGAGTTTTCTCAAGCCTTTGCATGTTACCTCTGCATAAACAAATCTTATCCTTCAGGGCACTTTTCCATCAAATATGTACTCCTTTATACAACAGACACTAACTGAGGAGCTTCTACCACCCAGGTCCAGCTGCAGACACTGAGTGGGAAGTAGTGGACAGACATCGTGCCAGCTCTTAAAATGCTTCAGTTTCAACAGAATTTCCTTAACACTGTCCTCTTACAGTAACTGTAAATTGCCTTTTATTCCCCTGACACAAGCAAGCACTGTTTATTCAAATATTCTGTAATGTAAAATCTGGTATGGGCTTTCTAAATTTTTTCTTTAATAGTTTATTCTTAGCTTTCCAAGGAGATTAAAAGCTCCAGGAAGGTCTTGTTTTCCTCAATTTCTCTATTAGCTATGACTCTACATGTCTGGTTTTTGGCTTCTGCTACTATCATATAGCTCTCAAAAGTATGAACAGGGGCTGGAGTGATATAGCACAGTGGGTAGGGTGTTTGCCTTGTACTTGGCCGACCTGAGTTCGACTCCCAGCATTCCATATGGTCTCCTGAGCACCGCCAGTGTAGAGTGTAGAGGCAGGAGTAACCCCTGTGCATGGCCAGATGTGACCCAAAGGGTAAAAAAAAAAAAAGAACAATGGAAAGTTCTCTTTTTCCCCTCTTTAATCTACACCATAATCTCTACTATCTCTTCCATTTTTATGCCAATAGAGGAAAACCACATTATGAAAAGCAATAGGATAGGAACATATACATAAGAAATTAACATAAGCATTATAGTGTTGCTTATTACATGTTGTATTATATAAAGAAAAGACTGAAACACTGATTTATGAATCATGAAACCCATTCCTTTGAGAGAACCAGTACAGAAACAATCTAAGAAACACAGAAGAGTTAAAGGAAAATTATGAGCTTCTCAGAAAATTAGCAAATTTTAGATCAAGGTCCTTTGGATATCTACTTATTAACTTAATGCTTGAGAATTTAGATAGAACCAACAGCATCTGGAGTTCCTCACTTCAAACTCAGCTTTATTTTTGCTCTAGCTATCTTGGTGTACCATAAAACCAAAAGTGGCTTGGCTCTCTCATGTCTGTGTTCCCCCTTGAACAAGGATCTTGCTTGCTTGTCTCGTTTCTCAGCTTGCTTGCTCTTTTTAATTGTGTTCTCTCTTGAACATATGTATTCCTTTCTTTTCTCCCAGTTCACGAATCTTTCTAAATAAACTTTGTTTAATAAAAACGATCTTACTTCACTTAAAAACAAATAAGCCCAAAGGCAACTGGAGGAATTTCTATAAAGAAATGAGTTTTAGCAGACTCCTCCTGTCCTTCCTCAAGGCAATCTATCTCACTGACATACATTAAGAGTTCCTCTTTGTGGCAAGAGATAGGACAGGGGATAAGGGCACGCAAGAAGCTTGACCCGGTTTGGTCTGCATAGCAAATGGTTCCCTGAGCACTGCTAGGAGGAGTGACGCCTGAATATCACTGATTATGACCCCTTTTCCAGTAAAACGTTGCTCTCTTCTAGAGAATCCTGCTCCAGGCCCATGTAATCTGATGGTACCACATATACCCTCAGAATTAATTAGCATAAAACCTGATGAAAAAAAAAGAAACAGCTGTCCGTTTACACTGAAGAAGAATTTAGTAATACTAATGATCCAAACTGAAACAGAATACAGAAATATACAAGAGGATAAGGCAGGTAGCTCAGTGGTGGTACATTATATATCTTGCATGTGAGAAGCCCTGGATTTGATCCTCAATATTAGGGAGGGGGAAAATAGTGAGAGGAAGGGGGACAAATGACTGGAACTTGAAGAGTAGTATTTCTATGAGCCTACAAAGAAGAGTAATTAAAATAGATTAAGACAATTATTTCGCATTTACAGTATTATGAACATTATTCTTTAA